CGATCCCATTCAAAGGCAGGCACGTGGGGGCCTCGCTGACCTCGCTCACAGGCGTTTATATGTCAGACACAGCCCGAGCAGGCATCTGTTCTGTCCTCACAGCCGCACCCACTTCTGAGGGGCCTACACCTGCAGGCTCACCAACTACACGGTCAACGGTTACGGGAAATAAAAGCCGATGCCCACACTTCCACACACACCGACTGTTCTCACTGTCTACGTCACAGAGTTAGACAACAGTTCACACAGAGCCTCACTTTCTTAGGCATCATAAGTAATCCAGAGACGGCATGACGCCTGCAGCGGTGTGTGACAAGGCTGAAGGCTCCACCGTCTGACGCGAGGGCCCTTGGTATCCTCGGGACTTGCGGCACGGCGGGGCTGGTTTATAGACGATACGGCGTGCAGACATTTACTTCTGGCGGTAGCTGCTTTTGTTGCTGCTTATGTGGCTGTGTGCAGGAGACAGGACAGGACCATCTAGGACACTCGGGTACTGAAACTGCCGCCCTCCCTGGCAGAGTGCAGCCCTGGAGCCTCTCCTATGCCTGGGAGTGGGAGAAGCTTTGAGCTCTGAACTCCCCGACCCCCACCCCCATCTCCACTCAAGCATCGCAAACGAAAATGAGTTTGCCAGAGCTGTGCTCTTTGTTCCAGCACAAAGCCAACTACACTTGCTTAGGGATGACACAAATAAGGTCCCCACTTAGGAAAGATGTCACATTCCACTGAAGAGACTAGGTAATGGCATTACTGCTGGGCACGGCGGCACACATCTGCAATACAGGACTTCACAGGCGCACTCCAGCAGGAGGACTACTGTGAGTTCAAGGCCAGCGCGGGCAACAAATGAGATGCTCAGACAACAACGAGAAAAGCCAGCACTTATTTACACGAACAGTAGCAGCGCTGAGCATCTCGGTGGCAGGCAGGCTGCAGGGATGGTGACAAGCCACAGCGGGGAACCCATGCTTGAGGGCAAAGGAGGGACGAGAACCCGGGCAGACAGAACTGCTACTGGAAAAGGCCCCTCGTAGGGACAGTGGCCTTTACTGGAGGGACCCAGCCAGCCTAGCCCTCCCTGGGACTGTCAACGCAGGGCCTACGGGCAGGTTAACAAGGATGAGGGAAGGACTGGAAAGGAAGCAGGAATGTGGTGGGCACGGCCTCTCGGAAGCCCAGCAATGCTACTGCAGCTGTACAACTCAGCACTGAGCCTTCAGATCCCAGGGGACTGAGACACCCTGACGGCAGAACATTGCACTAGCATGCACAGGGTGCTGTGGTAGATTCCTACCAACATACACACAAGGGGCAGGGACGATATTGAGCTCCAGCTCCAAGTGCTACCTGTTATGGGAAGCTATCTACAAGGCTTGGTTATTGAGAAGTAAATTATAAACCAGCAAACACACAAACCCAATTTGGCTATGTCACAGATATTTACAGAGGTCACCTGCGGTGGAGGTGCACAAGGTTTTCCCCTCTCGGCACCTAAGCTTCCGTCACACACAGCTTCCCAGTTTACCCTCCAGGGAGCTGCAGGCGTCAAGACAACAGGCTCCAACATGGCTGGAGAGCCCAGACAACAGCCCCTGGAGTTTGGCATCAGAGGCCCCTTTAGGTAGAGCTCTTTAGTAAGCAAACTCCATTACTTCTTGGTTGACAAGACTAGCAGGACACAAGAAAAAGCTAGTGTCGCTAATGGCTGCTCTTCCGGAGGGTGACCTTTGCTGGGTCAGCACTCAGAAGGCATCGTGCCGGGGGCAGGTCACCACGGGCTGCATCGCAGACGTAAGCAGCATGACCCCAAACCCATGAGCTGAGCATGCTCCCAGCCAGAGCCTCCTCCATCAGCCAACCAGCCCCGCTGGTCACGGTATACAAGATGCTGAATCCCCCCCCCCCCACCTCCTCTCAGAAGAGAAGAAGGCTCACTAACTTCTCAAAGATCAACAGGGGTGTTGCCTGGCTCTGTGGCAGTGGCGAGCCAGGTGGGAAGACAGTGACTTGGCCACCACCTGAGGGTCACCCGCAAAGAGCACTGCCTTCCCCAAGGTTCGCAGACAGTCGAGGTTCAGTCCTGTTCTCCAAAGTTCCAGGAAGGGACAGTACCTCAGTCTGCCATGTAGCTACCCCTCCTTGGGCATGCCAGGAGCTGAGCTAGGCATTCACACACGTCCCTACCTGGCCTGTTTCACAATAAAGGACAATAACCCCGAGGACACATGGGAGCGTCACGGGCTGTGGAGGGGACGATGGCAATGGTCACCAGATCCGCAGAGGCCCACAACGTCTCCACTGTGCACTGTATTCTACGAGCGCCCGCCAGGCCAGGCGCTATCTTCTTCAGAGCTGCTTCCCCAAGACAGCAGGTCCAAAGTTCAACAAGGAAAGCTCAGAAGCTCGGGGTGTGTCCGTGCAGTCTCAAGGTCCTGACCAGGGTAGGATGGGCACAGCCAGCACCGAGGCCCTCAGGTGGGACAGCCCGCCAGAGGCTTGTCTTCAGGACCAGTCAGGGGACACTTGTGAATTTTTTTTTAGACAGAGGAATCCACAAAAACAAGCAGATTATGGCTCACAGGCAATGCTGAGGGGCTGGGGCTGTAACTCAGTGGTACAGGACTCAACTGGCATGTGGGTTCTATCCCCAATACTGCAAAATGTGCGTCCATCCTCAACACGGCATGAAAGACTGCCCCAGGACTAGCAAATGCAGCTCCATTTCCAGCACTGGACAGGCTGGTCCCAGGACCACCTCATGTGGGTCCGTACCCAGAACAGCACACAATGTCGCTGCACCACCCCCAGCATGCCTCTGAGATTTTGCAAGCAGGGCTCAAATGTATGAATTCTTTCATAACGGCTCAACCACCTTCACATTTTTTTTTCAGATTTAAAATACAGCAACGTAGCCCGGTACGGCGGTGCACATCCGCAGTAGCAGGACTCCAGTTCAAGGTCAGCCTGGGCTACACGACGAGCCCAACCAACAAGCCTGCCAGGCGCAGCAGCCGTGCTGCCAGTGCTGGAGACGAGACTCACTGCACAAGCCCAGAGCCCAGTGCTGGAGACGAGACTCACTGCACAAGCCCAGAGCCCAGTGCGGCGGCTCTCACCTGCGGTCCCAACACTCGAGGGCCTTACATGTGAGGCCAGCCTAGGACACATAGTAGAACCCCATCTTAGAAGAAAGGTAGGTGTGTGTGTGTGTGTGTGTGTGTGTCTTCTGCAAAGGTGCTAACAGCACAAAAACCTCATCATCACATTCCAGAGCAGAAAAACCTGGTACAGGTCTGAGTGGCCAACTTCACTAAGGCTGGGCACTGCCGTGGTGATCTGGCTTGTTCTCCAGGAGGAAATACAAAGTGGAAATACATAGGACTGCCCGGCGATGCCACGTCTGAGCGGAGTGTGAGTGCCTGTCTAGCGCTCTGGACATCTTAGGATGAGGACACCTACGAGAGGCAGTCTGAAGAGGAAGAATTCACGGTCCTTCGACACTGTCTTCACGCGGTTCCCATCTTTCGCCTCGCCCTTGCTTGGTCCTCTCTTGGGTCCCAAGTCCGCTTTCTTCCCTGTCAGCCCCCATCCACGCTTGCACACGCTAGGAACCCAATGCCCCCCCTTCCCAGCTCCAGCAAATGATCTGTTCACATTGTGTCTTCACTGTGTGAGCCTCAATCTGGCGTGAACCAAAGGAGCTATTAGTTCCTTGACTCCAGTCTAATCCCACTTTCCATGGTCTTTCTGGAAAGCTCTCTCCCACACTCATGGCCGGCTACCCTGTTTACTGCTCGACTATGTCTCCACCCCACTCTGGCGCTGACCTGATGACGTTCTGAGGGACATCTTCTTACACGCACCCTCTCCAGTGTCATCTGGGGGGCCCAGGAGCAACCGCACACAGTAATTTCCCTCTAGTGCCTGGCGCCTCTCTGAACGAGCCCACCAAGGCTTTACCTAAGCAGTGAAAAATCTTTTGCACAGGGATTCCTGTGTCTGCCTCAACAGTCCTAAGACTGGTCTTGTCTGGAGATAAGGAGCAGGAGGAGCTGCCTCGCCCTGCCCCACACTGCGAGTGGGAATAGGCTCTCGTTTACATAACTTTGCATCGCAACCCCATCAAGCTGGGTTTGAGGGCTACAGAATGTTCTCAGGCACATGGCAACTGTACCGCCCTCTCCTTTCAGGGATTGCTAAAGGCATCCCAAGTTTGTTCCTGGGAGCCAGGCTGGGTCCCCCTCAGAGGCAGCTCTACCCCAGCAAGCAGACTGTGAGGCGGCCACTTCAGCATTCCCGGGGTATTTGCCAACCTTTCAGACACATGCTCTTCTGCTTAGTAGGACGCTCCAAAGGCCTCTGGGAAAATACTCGGTTCTACCTCCAAACGTCCAGTAACAGTGGTTAAGAAGAGCCCGAGGTCTCACGCCAGAAATGCTTTCTCCTCCCCCATCTTTGCCTAACGGAGCTGGGAATGTGGGACAGGCTGCATGCATCTGCTGGGAGCGGCTTCTGGATCTCAAGAACATGGCAAGAATAGCCAGGAGGGACCCAGAATAGAACACCCCTCCCCGGAGCCCCTCACAGCAGCTTCTTCCCAAGCGTCGTCCCCCATCTGTCCGTGCGGCCCCCCAACCCCCCACCTGCTGTCACCGCTAAGCCTGCTCTCCCCTCTGCCTCTCCAAGGACCGGCAGGAAGTGCCCCGGCTGGCTCTCCTGAAGTAACTTCAGAACGAGGCAGGCAGATGGGCTCCAAATGTTCCCAAACACGTGTCATTTCTAGGAACTGCCCTCCCCCAGCCCTGCCCTGCCCGGCTGGGCCTCCACCCTCAGGTTTAACTATTCCGGGACCCGTCCTCCGGGACCTAGGCGTCTTGGAGCTTGCCACAGTAACTATCGTAAGGTCCTGGTCCCAGAAGCCAGCACATGGGGAGCTGAAGTGGGCTACAAACCCGGTCAGGCAGCCCGAGTTCTCTGTGGCGTCAAAACAGCCTTACCTCATCCCACTCGGAGGCAAATGAAGGTGACTTCTCCAGCCTCTTCTTCCCGATGCTGCAGTTGGAGAGGGACTCGCTGCGGCTCCCCATCGTGGTGTCCTCCGTGGGGGAGCAGGTCAGGAGGTCAGAGTCAGACTTAGACAAACTGCGGCTGAGTTTGAGCTCAGCTTTCGGCTTGCTGGTGGGAGGGGCTCGGCTTCTGGCCGCGCTCTGGTCGCCGTCTTCCTCAGCACCAGCAGGGTGCAGAGGTACCGTGTGAGTCAAAGTCTGGAGGTGTGCTCGGCTGGCTGGGGCAGTCAGGCCTGCGGGAAAGCCCACTCGCTCGCTCTGGTCCAGGACGCCGGGCTGTGGGTCTCCAGTGGCTTGCACGCCCGGCTCCCCTAGCTGCATGCTGGCCTCGTGGCAGGCGTCTTGCTGGGGGGACTCTGGGTGGTTCTGGCTGGGGGCAGTAAGCAGCTGGAAAGGGTCCTGCCCCACCTCGCACACTGGGGAGGAGCCGTGGAGGAGGCCTGAGAACTGCTCCGGGACCTGCCCGTCCTGCCCCTCCACAGAGTCCTGGCTCCGGCTGATGCTGCTCCGCCTGTGGTCTTGGAGTGGACAAAGAGAAATAAAAAATTAAACGTGGCAAAACGTTCCTGTGCGGTGCGTGGTGCAGAGCAGAGTTCACATCAGGGAGGAAGAGAGAGGTTGTTGGGTCGGCTGAGGGGAGGGAGAGAACAGAACGGGGGAAGGAGAAAACAGTTTCATATTGTTCATGTTCAATTGGTACCCACAGTCAGAACGTTTATGAAATTCCAAACGCTGGCCCGAAACGCTGCCTGGCAGCCATCCCCCTGCTAGACCTCTGTTAACATTAGCGACCAGACCTTGCTATATAAGGTCAGGAGAAGCGCTGACTGCAGACAGACAGGACACACGTAAGGACAGAACGAGGGACAGGGAGCAAGAGTGCGCCAGTGAGAGTGACTCCTGGGACACTGGATACATTTCCATAAAGGCCACAGGGTTATTTAGAGCCGCCCGCCCTCCCTTCCTCTGGCAAGCGGCTGCAGGGGAAAAGGGAGGTCATGATCACAACCTGCAACTTCTGGAATCCCTTAACTGAAAGTGCAAAACAAACGGAGGGTGGGCGGGCGGGGGAAGTGGCTGCTTCCTTTCTCCTCCGGGCCACTCAGATCCACATCCACGCCTCGTCCTTCCGCAGGAACAGACTTTCCCCTTTCTTTCTTTCTTCTTCTTCTTCTTTTTTTTTTTTTTTTTTTTGGTGAACGTGTGAGCCTCACTCCTGCCAAGGCCTCCCAGCTGCTCATATTTGTTTAAGTTTAACCTTAGCTGATCCACTGGAAAAGGAAACAGTCTAGTTTGTCAAGCCAGGAGACAGCTGCTGCTCTTTGGAGACCTCCCTTACACCCTGGAAATCTGACGCTGCTAGTTCCCGAGGCCAAATACTACCACGCTCTCAAAACCTCCTGCCATAAAGCAGCGTAAACAATCGGCCAAGTCCACGTCTTACATCAGTGCCACCGCGGGACACCCTGTGGGAACTCAGTACTGGGACAGATTTTCACTCGTGCCATCAGCTGAGGCAACAGCACAGCCGGAAGTAAGTCACGCTCCAAAGCCATTGTTCATCTATATGCATGGTCGTGGCTCCTAGTCTTCTACGGGCATGGAATCAAAGAATTCCCTGATCTGCCCAAACAGCCCAAGATGTAGCTGCTGATGAGGCTGGGGCACCGCAGAACAGGGTGTGTGGTTCAGCGTTTTCACGGATGAGCGATCCGTGGCCCCAGGAATGGCGTGCTTTGCCCGGGGTGGCTGGCGGGGGTTCACCCAGGAGGGAGAACTGCTCTGCCCCTCTCCGGCCACGTGCCCAGAGTGCTGAGCCTCGGCAGGTCGGACTGCACGATGCTTAGAAAGCCCTTTACCGCCACGACAGTCCCTGCGTCCGGTGATGACACCTGTCCCTTGGCTGCTGTACAGTGGCGCCTGGCATCTCTTCTGCAGCAGAGTGCCGCCCCCATTCCTCACTTTCCTGCTTACACCCTGGAGCGGTACGGCCTTTAAGGAGGCTCAGTACGTAACACTGGGCAGGTGGGGAGAAGGGTGCAGACCACCGGCGTGTTATATACACGAGGTGCTGCAACAGTTTCCACAAGCTGATGCCAGGGTCTCATAGGGCTGGCTCTGCTGAGAAAGCCTCTACAGGCCCCAACAACCAGCTCACTCCAGGTGCCTGCACCGCTCAGCTCTGGGCAGGTCTGCAGGGCAGAGGAGGGGCAGCCAACTCACTCATTACAGGCTCCCATTACAGATCCACGGGAACCCAGAAGTATGAACTTCACCGCCTCCCTCCTTTACATCTGACCACTCTGGACTTTCAGTTTCCTTTCACTAACCCTGACCCTGACGAGGTGTGAACAACTTGAATGAGTTCTCCAGGTGGAAAACGCAGGAGAGCAAGTGAGAGAGAGTGTTCCAGTCAGTGTAACTGAGGCCTGAGCAAGCCTGGACTTCACAGCTGCAAGCAGCCAATGGGTACTCAGGACAAAAGGGCCTGGGGACCGCATTGGGGACTACAGAGAAGACAGCACACAGCCGTCTAATGGACGTCCCAGTTTCTAGTGCTTTCCTTGGAGAGGCTGTGGATCTGCCGACTGTCCCATGCTCCTGCCCCAGGTGCAGCAAGGGGCCTGGACTGCAGGGCGGGGGGTTCATGCCCTTGCTCCTGTGCGGCAGGCTCCGGGCTCTTGGGTCACCATTCGCCGGTGTGAAGGGACAACAGGAGAGCCCCACAGCCCAGCACTGGGAGACTTCTTGGCTCACCAGGCTGGCAGGGCTCAAAACCCAAGTGAGAGAAGGTTCTGGCCGCTTACTGGGGAGCTGACAATGAAGGCCTTCAGACAGTCACTCATTCATGCCAGCCATCAATGAAGAAAGGGAAGCAGATGCCAACCCCAGAGAGACGCCAGGGGAAGGCTGTGTGGGCAGAGAGAAGGGATGGAGAGCTGCACAGGGGAAGAACCTCTGCGTGTCACAGACAAAACAACCTGCGAGTCTGTCACACCGCGAAGACACCTCGGCTCTGGAAGAGCTAGCTCCTCAGGGCACAAGAACTTCGGTGTGTGTGTCTGCCTGACCCTCTCCTCCCTCTTTCTGTGCACTGAGACAGCGTCTTGCTAGGTGGCCCTGGCTAGCTTAGAACTCTGTCGTCCAGGCTGGCTTCACACTTGCTATCCGGCTCAGTACTGAGACTAGAACTGCACGCCACAATAATGCCTGGCTGTGTCCCCACAAGCCAGACCTAACCTAAGCACGCTGGCCTAAACCACTTTTCTATCCCTGGAATAATGACCAAGGCAATGAATAGAAGAAACCGAGGGCTTAATTCTGAACCACAAGCGTGAGGCAGAGAGTGAACTAGAAATGGTTTACGCTTTCATAGCTGCCATACCTCCTCCAACAAGGCCACACCCAAAAAATGCCACCAACTGGGGACCAAGGGCTCCAAGGTCCGGGCTATGGAGGACAGCGGATTCAAACCATCACACGGTGCAAGTCTGTAATTCAGTTCAGGGTGCTGAGGCAAGAGGACTGCTTTGAGTTCAAGGCCAGTCAGGCTCACAGCAAGCCAGAAAGAGCACTGAAGACACGTGTGCCCAGCAGTCCCGGCACAAGGCTGCACTGTTCTTGCGGGCACATGCTTTCTCCAGGAGACACGGTCACTACCACAACCCTGATCCAAAGGAGTCCATTCCGGCCCATACAACCTGAGAACGGAAGAGAATTCGAGTGGGAGCCAAGAGGTGCAAGAGACAGCCCATCCCAGTGACTCCCCTCGGGTCTATTTCAGACAGGACAGCTGGGATGCGTGGAGGCTGCTCTGGGACACTCTGGTGTGAGTGGTCACCTCCTGTCTCTGCAGTGCCTCTAAGTGATGAGACGGTAAGGGTGGACTCAGTGGACTAGGACTTATGTCCCAGCTCTAACAACACTGGACATCCATAGCCATATTTTTTCTCTTCTGTAGCTGCTGTAATGTTCAGCCTGTTCGAGTCTCAAAGACACAACTAAGTTATTCCTCCATAGATTTACTTCACTCTGCTGTCTCCCCCAGACTCCCCCCCGCTCACCCCGCTGTCTCCCCCAGACCCCCCTGCTCACCCCGCTGTCTCCCCCAGACCCCCCTGCTCACCCCGCTGTCTCCCCCAGACCCCCCTGCTCACCCCGCTGTCTCCCCCAGACCCCCCTGCTCACCCCGCTGTCTCCCCCAGACCCCCCTGCTCACCCCGCTGTCTCCCCCAGACCCCCTGCTCACCCCGCTGTCTCCCCCAGACCCCCTGCTCACCCCGCTGTCTCCCCCAGACCCCCTGCTCACCCCGCTGTCTCCCCCTGGTCCCCCTGCTCACCCCGCTGTCTCCCCCTGGTCCCCCTGCTCACCCCGCTGTCTCCCCCAGACTCCCCCCTGCTCACCCCGCTGTCTTCCCCAGGTCCCCCTGCTCACCCTGCCGGTTCCCCCAGATTCCCTTGGTAAACTCTGCCCATCCAGCTGGTTCCCAAGGCTTCCCTTTAGGAAGCTCTGTTCTCTGTGTCCATGGCACTTTAGACTTCCCAACCACCATGAAGAACTGGTGTCTCTTATTTACACAGAAGCTGATATTTCAAGAAGGTAAAGGACCCTGAAGGTAACTGACCAAAAGGTAGTGAGCAAGAGTTCAAATGCCAGTCTCTGCACCTGGCGTCCCGGACACAGGGTTAATGGCGTCCACGTGCTCATTTTCCTCTGCTTCCTTGACCTGGAACTTTTAGACAGGCTCAGCCACCGGGATAAAGGCTGCGGTCACTGCTTCACTCCAGGTTGGTGTGAAACTTGTGACCCTCTTGTCCTGCCCGCCCCCACCTCAGCATAGTGCAGACTGCAGAGTCACAGACTCAGTGCTTAGGGACTATCTCCTGCACAAGCTGATGACCTGAAAGTGCACAGCCGCCAGGATTGTGACCAGCAGGAAGCAACAGGTCCCAGCCCCTGGAAAACACAAGCCCTGCGCTCAATTCGGCGGGGATCTTCGGCTCGCTGCTGCCTCTATCCTTCCTCTCGGCTCAGCTCTTCTAATCTTAGCATCTCTCCTGGTCTTCTGACTCCTGTCTCTGGCTGTTATGGGCACACAGTCAGTCTCCTAGAACACAGAGCACTCATATTTCACTTAGCATCTTCCCTCAGTCACGGCCTTCCAGCTCCTCACGTTTTCTGGTTACGTTTCAGGCAGGCTAGAAACCTCAGGCTCACCCCCGTAGGCAGCTCTTGCTCACCCACGCTTGCTCCCTCGGCGACTCCCTCCTGTCACCCTGCTCCCACTCCTTCCTCCTCCCCATAGCTTCCTCCTGTCCCTCTAGGAGAGATTCTAGCTATCCTCAGAGATTCGTGAAGATTCCTGCCTCCAGCTTTTCCTGCGCCAAGACTCCCAAATTCTAGCTTCTTTACAGTCCGGCTCCTATGCTGTCACCCACTCCTAAAGTTTCAACAGTACCGCTCTGTCTCTGGGATACAGACTGACATTTGAGACCCAACGCTCTATGACAAGTTCTCTTTGTTCCAGCCAAACTGGAGCACTGGCGGAGCTCCAGGCCCTCTCCACCTCCTCCCCCCCTCCCCCACTGCGAAGTGTGCCACACCCCTGCCTGGAACCTCAGGCCAGCTCCCTCCCCAGTCTCGGGCTTGGGCCTGGCTCAGACCCTCTCTTCATAAAGCTAACTCTGACCTCTGAGGTGGACATAATTTGTCTCACTTCTGAACATCGAACTGCCCTTTTTTTAAATCACTTTCATAGGAATCTAAGATATTCTTCCCCCTTTCAACTGTTTTCTCTATTTATCACACATGCCCATGTGTATAAATAGCTGTCAAAACATTTTGTGGAAGAAAATGCGGGCACCACATCCACAAGGTTTATTCAACCCAAAGCAGCAGTCGTGTGAGGGAGGCGGGCCCAGCCTGGCTATGTCAGGAGTCTAAGTCACAGGCTGGGAGGCGCTGCCCATTTTCACACGCAGGCACGAGCACTTCTGCTATGAAAAGCCAGTCTGGACTTCCAGGTAAAGACAGGGACTGGACACTGGCCCAGTTTCCTTTTCTCTTCCTGAAGTCTGACCTAAACAACAGCAGGAAAGCCACGCTGAGAATGAGAGAGGCCAGGCTGCTGGGAGTCACCGAGGCTCAGGTACAGGATCCAAGGGAGAACTGGGGGGACAGGTCCCTCCCCTTGGGAGAGATCAGCCCTCTTACTCAGGTGCATGGTTCTCAGGGACATCAGCTCGACCACCCTGAACTCAGAACTCTGGCAGCACCGCACATGCACTGCTGCCCATATATCAGCCATGGCTGCTAATGCTAAGCACTCGGGAGGCAGAGGCAGGCGGAATTCTGTGAGTTCAAAGCCACCCTGGTCTACCAGAGCGAGTTCCAGGACAGCCATAGCTAAAGAGAGAAACTCTGTCTCAAAAAGCAACAACCAAAGCCAGAAACAAAGAAAGAAAAATTTCATGTACATGTCCCATGCCGACTGACCCAGGCCCCAGTGCTAATTTTATTTTTTTTCCCTGGAAAATTGTTTTGCAATTCATATGCTGTATCTGTGAGTGCGGGCCACGTGTGTGCCGGTGGCCAAAAGGGCCAGAAGAGGGCGCTCTCCCTGGAGTAACAGGTGGCTGTGAGCAGGGTGGTGCGGTGGCCGGGAAGCAAGCCTGGGACCTCTTCCACAGCAGCCTGGCGTCGTAACCACGAGCCACATCTCTGTGGAGCGTCTGGTGGCGCTAACATCACAGCGACAGTGCACTGGGGGGGAGGGTGGGGGTGGGGGTGGTCTTCTCACTCTGCCTCCTGCTAGTAGAGAAACACAATGCATATACGGTATTCCTGCAGCAACACGGTTCACAACAGAGAGACCCTGAAAACCGAGAAGGGCTATTTAGCAGCGATTAAGAAAGAATGAGCTGACACTTAAGAACAAAGACAAAATTGGACCTGTGATCTACTCAGACAAGTACAAAAAGCAAATTCTCAAGGTCATTTGTCCCATGCGACTTCATTCTGGGTTAAATGCAAGTCGGACTACCTCACAGCCATTACTGCATGCATTACTTCATGCATTACTACACGGAGACAGCAATGGCCTGGGTGGACCATGCCTCCACACACCCCAGCAATCCTGAGAACAAAGAGTCACAGGTCTGAGCAGGCCATCCCTATTTATCTTGTTCTTTTTGGTGAGTATATTCCAGTTTAATTAACAAGGCATTTCAAAAGTATCTCCCGTTCACCCCACACTCTGTCTCATTAATATTAACATAAACATAACCTCTGGGAAAGAGACCAATTAGTTCATAAAAGCTGCATATGAAAATGACATTAATGGAAAAGGAGAGAGGACTTATGTGAACTAAGCCTCCGCAGGGTGCTGACTGCCTCCCTTCTGAGCCAGTGGTTTCTGCTTGCTGACAGGACAGTCAGGGCTTCTGAGAGACCAGAAAGTCCACCTCACAGTTAATGTCTCACTGCTTGTCTGCAAGCTCCAGTGCGCCACACCAACGGGCAGGCCTGCAGGGTGCAGGGAGGGTGCTACGCACACCGTGCTCAATTAAACAGCTGCTCGCGGCACCTCTCAACAGTCAAACGGGACAGAGAAGCCAGGAGCGAAGGGGCGGTCATGAGATTGAGTCTTGTTCTGAGAACCAGGAGAACTCCTGACCTCGGGACAGAAAATCCCCACCAAGGACACCTGGCAGCCAGGAGACAGCCTCACGGGGAGAGCTGCGGTTCCTTCCCCTTCACGTGAAAGGCTGATCGAGCTGTGAGCAACCATCCCACCTGAGCCTTTCAGAGAATCACCCCAGCCCTCATGGAGCACCATCTTCAAATGCAAAGTCCGAGTACAGGCCTGCTTTGCCAGAGTTAATTTCCATGATCTTTTTAGAGAGGGGCTCACACTATAGCCCCACCCAGTCTTGAACTCTGGAGTTCACAGTAACCCCTTGCCTCCGTCTGCAGAGCACTGGGATTACAGGTGTGATTGGTACCAGAACTGTGCCTGCTCTACATTAAGAATGCACCCACAGGGTGGGCAAGCTCATACAGCCAAGACACCAGAGCCTCCCAAACGGTGGGACTCAGCACCAACCCACACCAACCGACCCAGTGTGAGCATGCATGGAAATCAGCAGCCTGGTTCTGAGTGTACATGGCAAGAATAAGGACCGGAAAACTCAAGATGCTTCTGGAATAACAGCAATGTTACAAAGGCAATTTAACGAAGTAAAAGATATTTCAACACAGTGCAGACACAGCTGGACATGCAAAAGTTACCTCAAAATGGGTAGCACCAGCAAGACAGAACTCAAAGCTAGAGCATTTCTAGAAGAAAGTACAGAAAAACACACCCCTGGGGCTAGGGGATGGCTCATTTAGTAATGTGCCTGCTGTGTGCACATGAGAGCAGAGTCAGAATCTTGGGCATCCCCCGAGAAAATGCCACATATGGTATTCGAGGCTACAGCAGCAGCTGAGGGTGGGGCAGCACAGCCAGGGGGACCCCCATGGTCCACTCTAGTCCAGTTAGCAGCCCCTTCATCAGGAGACCTTGTCTCAAAACTATAAGGTGGAAAGGGTGTGCCAGCACACACCTTTAACCCCAGCCTTGGGGAAGTAGAGGCTGGTGGATCTCTGTGCTCAAGCCAGCATCGTCTATGTAGAAGCTTCAGGCTCGCCAGGGCTACACAGCGAGCCTCTGTCTTAGAACTGAGAGTGGAGAACAACCAAGGAAGACACTTGACACCAGCCTCCGGGTTCCGCAGCAAGACCCACACACACTTGTACATGCAAGATCAGGCAAGCCCCGCCCCCAAGACTTACGACCGTATCCATCAGAAAGAAGAAAAAAGAAAAGAAAGAACAAATTGAACTTCTCCATAATTAAGATCTCAAAAGCCACTGTAACAGTGTCAATACACTGAGAGAGAAGCACGTTTGAAGAAAAGCACTCAGGGAACGAAGCTGTCAGCACTGTGGTGGCGTAGGCCTGTAAACCTAGTGAGCTCCTGAGAGGCTGAGGCAGGGGAATCACTGACAGTTCAAGGCCAACTTGGGCTATAATAATAAGACCCTGTCTCAAAATCTTAGAAAACAAAAACAAAAATGTCTAAAAGAAATGAATAAACAAAGCAATTTCAATTCATGCAGGCATGGTGATGCACATAATTTAAGAGAGCATTGGGAGGCTGAGGCAGGAGAGCTGCCGTGAGTTGGAGGCCAGTCTGAACTATACCTTCTCTCAAAAAGATAAAAGAGAACTTAGGCCAAAAATACAGAGACCTCACAACCTGGTAACAGAAAGAGAGATCAGCCATTTTGAGATATAGATAGATAGATGATAGGTAGATAGATAGATAGATAGATAGATAGATAGATAGATAGATAGATAGATAGAGATACAGATACAGTTATAGATATGTTTGTTTTTTGAGACAGGGTTTCTCTGTGTAGCCCTAGCTGTCCTGGAACTCACTCTGTATAGACCAGGCTGACCTCGAACTCATGGAGATCCACCGTCGGGTTACGACCCACTTTTGAAGTGAGCAGCAGGCGTATGCAGACATTCCACTAGGATTGGGGCACACACGGGAGCACAGCCTGGAAAGGAGGACGCCCCTCCTCTCCTAGGGTGGTCAAAGCTTAAGGACCCGATGATGCGGAGGCCTGGGGCTGACAGCACACTGCAGGGGACCCAGAATGGCGTGTCACCCTGCACGGTGCCTGAGTGGGTTCTTTGAGAAGAATGCTCTGCCCAGAACCCAGAACCCAGAACCCCTGTCCCACAACGACACGTTTATCCCAGTGAATGAGAACCTACATCTGCTTGAAAAATGGAAACATACGATAGTTTTGCCTGCGCCTGTCAAAAACTGGAAATGACTCACTGTCCCTGGGTGGGGGAAGTGTTAACCATGGCGCACCTCTACAAAGGAACATAACCCAGCAACGAAAAGGAGCAAATGGCTGGAAACGCACACAGACGGGTCTCAGACGCACACAGGCGGGTCTCAGACGCACACAGGCGGGTCTCAGACGCACACAGGCGGGTCTCAGACGCACACAGACGGGCCTCAGACGCACACAGACGGGCCTCAGACGCACACAGGCGGGTCTCAGACGCACACAGGCGGGTCTCAGACGCACACAGGCGGGCCTCAGACGCACACAGGCGGGTCTCAGACGCACACAGGCGGGTCTCAGACGCACACAGGCGGGTCTCAGACGCACACAGGCGGGTCTCAGACGCACACAGGCGGGTCTCAGACGCACACAGGCGGGTCTCAGACGCACACAGGCGGGTCTCAGACGCACACAGGCGGGTCTCAGACGCACACAGGCGGGTCTCAGACGCACACAGGCGGGTCTCAGACGCACACAGACGGGTCTCAGACGCACTGTGCAACTTGGAGGTGCATGCTGAATGACTCCATTCATGTAACGTTCTGGAAAAGGCAATCACTGGGACAGACATCAGAGGCCCTGTCTCCAAGGCAGGGAGGCAAGCGGATGCAGAGGCACGGAGGGAAACCTTTATTGTGCGCAGACTGTCCCCCTATTTTGGTTATGGCTGACAGTTACTCGCAGACCGTACACAAACACAGATGCATTTCAGTGCATCTAAATTACAACCTCTCAGAAAAGTTCCAAATGGAAACAAGCGACGACTATGAACGCGAACACAAAGTCCCTACACACCCAGGGGGGCTCAGAACGGGATGAGAGGCAGTGTGCTGGGTGCCTGGCCAAGGTGTAACAGCGGGGTCTGTGAGCCAGCAGGACCAACAGGAGACACTCGGCATGCACGGTGGCGGACCTCGCAGCTCTAAGCGGAGGACACAGTCAGCTTGGGGCTCGTGCATCCTCCCTCTGCAGGGCTGGAACTTACATCCAGACTGCATTTTGCTGAAGCTATACAAGTAGGCCACAGTGACAAAGCACTGTAGTTACAGGTGACAGCCCGTCAAGACCCCAACAAGGAGGGAGCATACTGCCCTGAAGGCAGGAGTCACAGTGTCCACCCGCCATCAGCAGAGACCTCAACCACCTAGCTTGCTTGGCTAGCGTGACAGGCTCCAACCAGTCTCCACAGTAGTGTATGCTGTCACCGGGGTGCCCTGGCCTGCCCTTGCTGCACATGTGGGAGTGTGTCCCCATCCACCCAAGGGCATGGAGTCCTGGTACTGAATAAGAGCAACCACGCGGCCCCAGACTTAGGAGCCCTGGCTGCACGACCCACGTCTGCAGCACCTGCCCTCCCCATCCTGCTCTGTGCCGTGGAGGGATACTGTACCTTTCGCCCTTCCATCCGTGGCAGCCGGCTTCTTGGTCTCTGCTGTGAGCAGCAGCTCGTATGGGTGTTCCTCCTCGTCCCGGGGGACGCTGCTCTGGATCCTGGGTCTCACAGCCAGGCCCTAGGAGACAGAAACACCCAGAACCCATCGGGCACAGAGACTGGTGGTGTGAAACAAAGCTCTGATTCCTGCTACCTTGCGGGGAAGGGAAGGAGAGTCGGGCACCCTGAGGACTCATGGGCATTTTTCTAAGTCCATCACGTGCTCTGGCTCATTCCCCAGGGTGCCCAAGCTTGGAGTCCGGTGCAGCAGGGATGGGAAGGGACAGGACAGAGATGGGCGTGGCGGCCGGGTGGGCCTCCTAACAAACCCACTCGTGAGTGGGGCTGCAGCTTGTGTGGCACCACAGAAAAGCGGTGTTAACCCATGAGCCTCGCACCCCTGCTCTGCCCTCTGCCCTGACGTGTCACGTACCGCCCCGCCCCTCACCAGGGCTAAGGACAGATGGCGCCGTGTCACTGGGTTTCTGACACCCACCTGAGTCAAGCAAACCTCTTTTCTTGACAAAGTACCCAGACTCAACAAGAGAGAAACCTAAGACAATTCCTGTATGTGAAATCTCCACAGTGTGACTAAACCATTCTTTTTTTCAGGCCCCATTTTATCCTTCAGAAAATGATAAAAATTCAAGCCTCTCTGCCTCTCTCTCCCGCCTCCCCTCTCCCTTTCCTCCGTGTTTCTGTAGTAGTTCTGTGTTGCTAGTAGTTGTTACGTAAGCTGAACTGCCCTCTTTCCCCATCCTTCTCTGCCGTGCACAGATCCTACCCAAAGGCCAGCGTCCAACTCAAAAGAAAACAAAATACTCTTGCCACTTAATGGCCTGTCCTCATCTTCCTCTGCTGCAGCAGCCCTGGCTAGCCTGGAGCCTGCTGTGTAGACCTGCCGTGTAGACCTGCCGTGTAGACCCGGCTGATCTTAAAGACACAGATCCCAGGCGTGCGACACCACAGCCAGCTTGTAACCATCTTTTTCCCGGATCCCAGGAGCTGTGGGAACAGATTCCCCCTGAAGCCAGCTTTCTATTGGATTATAAGGTGACTCCAGATGCCCCAACAGTCTCGAGAGTCAGTAACTAGCGATGTGAGCTTCTGTGGGCAGTTGTCTACTGACAAGGTCTTGATTCAAGCAGGTAAGCGCCTCCCTTACAGGAGTTGCAGCAGCCGCGGGGCTCCAGTTAGGTGAGCATCAGAGGGTCCTCAGCTAGTGCTGGAGACACAGGGAGGGGCTGTGGACACTCCTGCTCTGAGAATCCCAATGTGTTTTAAAGGCAAGTTAAGAACAGTCACACGCCAGCTGCTGCAGTCAGGCTAGAGCACAGAACGCCCAGAGCTGTCTGAAGTGAGGGGCAGCCTGGGGGGGAAGCGGGGACACCGGGATTCCTACTCATAGCTAACACGCCAGCAGACCCTGCGAGGGGCCCACTCGCCTTTGCACACAGACAGCACACACTGGATTCGTCAGAGGCCTCCTCTGTGGGGACAGCTCACAGTGAACACGCTCACACGTCCTCCTGGAGGAAGGACAGCACTCTCATCCAGTCTGGACTGAAGGAGGAGCCCAACCCACCCCGATGGCAGCACAACAGTCTCACTCTGGAACTCTGCAGAGCTCAGTGCAGCAGGTACCCGTACTGTGCAAGAGTCACCCGGAAGCTGAAGGCCTTTACTCTGGGAGCCCCGGGGTCTGTTTTCATAGGGACACAATTAAGGGAACAAAGAGGGACCATTAAGTAGTTCACACCGTGTCAACTTTACACCGCAGGCTTCACTAGTGCTCTGGCAGGTTTTCACCCTTATGATCCCTCAGGCAGAGCCTTGGAAATCTGATTCCCAGCAAGTGTGCCTCAGCAAGCTTTCTCACCCAGGCCCAGGCAAGCTTCCCTGAAAGCTAGCTGACAGCCAGGATGTCTGGCCTACAATGCAGGGCCGGACAGAGGACTGCAGGGGCAGGGCAAACGTGAGCAGAAGTCACCAACCGCCACGGCTGGACACTAGTCACAGTCAGGATGCCTGGGGTTCTGGCCATTTCATCTGCAAATTCAGAAAGGGCCAGAAACCTGCCCAAGGTTACACAAAGTTCACAGCAGAGCAAGGCATGAAATGTGGTTTCTCTGATTCTAACCCGGATTGGCCTCATTTTCCTCCATCTAATTTGGACTGCCTTCCCTTCTTCAACGGCCTAATGAAAGCCCCTGCTTGGAACCAGACAATAAATGAGGGTGTTCGCCTCCTCTTGCTCTGGCCCTGACCAAGCTAGGGTATGAAACCTTCACAGTCCACAATAAACTTTTCTTCCAGGCACCCCTTGCTCCCACAGAAGTGGCCCTGTGTCTCAGTGACTACGATAACAACTGGTTTTCAAAAGGAAAGATTCCGTTTTTCACTAAACTACTTCTTAATCTTCTTTCCCCTTTCCTCCAGGGCTGGCATGACCCAAAGCTAAACAGTTCCTGTGGAGAGCAGCACTGCTGGGGCACAGAAGGGTTGCAGGCAGCCAGCCATCACCCGCCATCACCCGCCATCACCTCATCACCCCATCACCCGCCATCACCCGCCATCACCTCATCACCCCATCACCCGCCATCACCCGCCACCACCCGCCATCACCTCATCACCCCATCACCCGCCATCACCCTGCCATCACCCGCCATCACCTGCCATCACCCCGCCATCACCCGCCATCACCAGACATCACCCCATCACTCCGCCATCACCCCATCACCTGCCATCACCCCATCACCCGCCATCACCCAGACATCACCCCATCACCCCATCACCCGGCCATCACCCAGACATCACCCCGCCATCACCCCATCACCCGCTATCACCCACTATCACCCGCCATCACCCCATCACCCCATCACCCGGCCATCACCCGCCATCACCCCATCACCCCATCACCCGGCTATCACCCGCCATCACCCCATCACCCGCCATCACCTGGCCATCACCCCATCAACCCGCCATCACCCCGCCATCACCCCACCATCACCCGGCCATCACCCCATCACCCAGTCATCACCCCGCCATGGCTGAGAAGCCCCAACACAGAGGAGACCGTGGCCCCCTCTCTCTCTCTGTCTCTCTCTCTCTGTCTATCTCTGTCTCTCTCTCTCTATCTCTGTCTCTCTATCTCTATCTCTCTCTGTCTCTCTCTCTCTCTGTCTCACATGGTATGATTAACAGACACACAGCCCTAAGGTTTGGCTTGGTCATAAAGCCGTCCTTAGCATCAGAGACTGCTGGGTTCAATCCTCCAATTCCTATAAACACAGTAAAATGGCCTCAAGTTTACTGGCATCAGTGTCTCAGTTTAGTTTTAAAGCTTTTAGAGAGTTGGAAACAGAGATGGTGGGGTTGGAGTTCTAGCTGCTCCTGCAAAAGGACCTAAGCATAGGTCCCAGCACCCACAGTGGGCAGCTCACAAGCATCTGAAACTCTAGTTCCATGGAATCCGATGTCCTACTCATCCTCTCGGGATCCCAGGCATGGCTGTGATGCACAGACAGACACATAGGAAAAAAATACCCATATTCTAAAATAAAATAACAGAAATCCTGTCTCCATCACTAAGAGAACAACGACTCAGGCCATGTCTCCTCTATGCTATGTACCCATAATAACAGCAAATAGGCAAGTACAGAGCTCTATTTTCATGGTCTTCCAAAAGCCAGCTGTGTTGGTTCAACTGACTTAGAGTTCCAGGCTATCAGGAAACATCTCCAAAGGACGGTGTCACCCACGGACACCCCCCAGGCAGGATGGCCCAGCGGCAGAGGTGCTGCCTGCACCCGACAACCTGTGTGCATCCCCTGAACTACAAGACAGAAGGAAAGAACTCTCCTCCAACCACACACACACACACACACACACACACACACACACACACACACAAACATAAAAAAAAACTTGCTTTGTTTTCCAAGACACGGTTTCTCTGTGAAACAGCTCTCTGGTTGTTACAATTATAAATTATAAAATTATTTAATTTTATAAACTTGATTATTTAATAAACTCGCAGATGAAATATCACACAGCAAAAGCATCCAGACCAAAATCTCTCCCTTTTCCACTGGTTGCCTCTGACCTGATCCATGTCTGGATACAACGGACTTTACGAGAAGCAGCACACGCGTAACAACAGAAAGGAGGCCTCTGGGGCTGAGCACTGGGACGTGGTAACGTGGTGCTGCTCATACAGTGGCAAGGACAGGGGTGCTTGGAAGCCTTCGTCAGCAGACAACACAGTGTGAAGGCAGAGACTGTCCAGGTGGGGCGGCCAGACAACAACAGGCCAGGCTCCCGTACGGCTGGCGCGCTACTGCAGCACCTGGAGCCTCTTGGTTTGAAAGGCCTCGCTCCAGATTCCCGACATGTGCGTGTCACAAACAAACGCGCTAAGCACAGGGGTAACGAGAGAACAAGGCTGGTGATAGGGCTCAGGGGGCAGGAGTGCTCGCTCTGCAAGCATTGGACCTCATCCGGCACACAGAAAAAGTGTGGCAGAGTTGTGTGTGCGCCCGTTACCTGCAGGGGCACGTGTGTCTACATACTCATGTATATGCCTCACACTCACACACAAGTGCAACAACCTTCCCTCTCTTTACAAAAGAGAATATGCTGGGGAAATGGCTCAGTGACAGTGCTTGCTTGACATAAGCAAGGCTCTGGATTCAATGCACAGGGGCTTGAGAGGCGGCTCAGCGGTTAAGAGCACTGGCTGCTCTCCCAGAGGACCCGGATTCAAATTCCAGCACCTACATGGTGGCTCACAACCATTTGTGACTCCAGTTCCAGGGGATCTGATGCCTTCATCCTACCTCCACGGGCACCAGGCAGGCATGTGGTGCATGTATGTATGTATGTATGCATGCATGCATGCATGTATGTATGTATGTATGTATATATAACGTACATACAAAAAAAATCTTAAAAAAGAAAAGAGGAGAAGAGAACAGAGCCTCCTTTGAACTCACAGATCTACCATGTAACAAATGCTATGCCAGTGATGGGGTGACCCCAACCCTCTACCTCAGAGGCTGTCAAGGGCAAATACTTCTTATCTACGCGCTCTTCCTCCTCTTCGTCAGGGGGTGGCTTTGCTGGAGGCGGCGGACGTTCTCTCTGCAGAGGAAAAAATAAATATTCTACCATCTCTCCTTTACAAATATTTAACGTTTGTTTGGCTTTCCCTTATTTTAGTCCTCGGGAATAAAAAGCATTATGTAAAGAATCCCCCCAGGAGCCTAAAGTCAGCACCCCCTCTCTGAGCGCACAAAGGGCCCCGTACACAGACGCGTCAGCTGTGCCATGGTTTCTGACGAGGGCAGCGAAGACCACAGACACCTCCTTCCTGGCTGCCAAGGAGGGCAGCACAGAAAGCCGAAAGCCCTCGCTGGCACAAGGGCTCTACCTGACAGACACAGACACCCGAAAGCGAAGAGCAGAGGCTCAACTTCCAGTCTACACGGAAGAGATGTAACCTGAGACGGAGAGACCCAGCTCCGGAGCTCTTCCAGAACCACGACGCCCGGGGAAGCAACGGGAAAGGCAACCAAAGGCGGAACGTCTGCCCTTGCTCAAACTTCATCGCTGTGCTGCTCACGGCCGTCCCTGCTCCGCAGGGAAAGTCCCACCACAACCCCTCAGCTAGCCGGGGCACCGAGCAGGGGGGTTCACTCAAGCCCAAGAGCTTGAGGTCCCTCAACTCAGAACAAAACATCTCTTGGGTTGTTTCTGCTGCTGCTGTCGTTTTGGGTCTCACATGCAGCCCTGGCTGTCCTGGAACTTGCTATGCAGACCAGACTGGCCTCGCAGAGGTCCTCCCGTCCCGGCCTCGCTCTGCCACTGCCTCTGGGTGCTGGGATTAATGGCGGGCGCCAACACACCCAGCACATCTCTTGTTTTTAATCGTCCCTTCAAATAATAAAAATGCGGCTACAGGGAACCCCGTGTGTCACTCCTGCTCATTTAGACAGGGGCATGGGCACCAGTCGCCCTAGCACAGGAGCTGACAAGCGTGTTCCCAAAGGACCTAAAGCAGCTATGCGAGGCTTCACAGTCAGCTCTACCACAGACAACAGGCAAATGGTGCATACGACTTCATTAAAAAACAAACAAGGCTCCTGTCAGTGGGCTGTGGTTTTCCAACCCTGTCCCCACAGTAAGGAAGTCACTGAAGGAGGACACTGGGCAGGTGAATGGTGGGTGGACAACTTCAGGAGCACATACGACCTTAGTATGGCAAAGTCAAAGGCTGGGGAGACACTGCACCTGCACCTTACTGGGGGGGGGCTGGGACACTGCACCTGCACCTTACTCAGGGGGGCTGGGACAGGGCTGGCCCCAGGCTCCGCCCCAGGTTTGCAGACCAGTTCTCTATTGCTAAAGGGGGGAGAGGGGGCTGGAATGCTGAATGATAGAGATTTCCAGAGGAATTTGCACAGATGCTGTTTTGGATTTTAGCACCTGGGACCTCTCTGTTCAAACAAGCTTATCTGCTCCACACCAGCCTCCATCACTCAGTCCTCCTGCGAGGCCAGAAAACCAGAACAAGAATGGCTACAACATACTTATGCACACATGACAAAGCATGCACTCCCAGATGCTCTGGCTTTTGCTTAGCACAACCGGCAGAGAGGCTGGCCATCAGAGGTTACTCAGTTCTCTGCAGGACTTTGTGGCTGCTACCAAAGGCACTAGCGCCCCCTACTGGGTGACACCTGCAAGCCCCACTTAAAGCCAAGCCTTCTCAGACAGGTCAGATGCCAACAGCGAACGCTCTCCCTTCACCACTCACAGTGAGGAGTGAGTGCCCTCGCTACGCCTACTCTGCAAGGCTGCCACACTGGAGGGCTCACTGACACCCACACGCGGACACTGCCATTGCATCGGGCCAGAGGGCAGGGCAAGCAGACCGCCAACAAAGAACGCACCAGGCCACAGCTAGAAAGGTCCTGCCAGAGGGAAAGTCAGCAGGAAAAACACACATACGCCCCCAAACCTGTCTGGTGGTCAGTCAGCCACGTCAGACAACGGGCGAGGGGGTGACAACTGGGACAACAATGTGTGGAGATGGGAAGAGGTGGGGCCAGGGCTGCAGACAGGGCAGACTGACTCTGGGTGTGGAGGGGGCGTCAGGAGTCTGGAGGCCCGTGGACAGAACAGCGCCAAGACAGGAGGGACAGACGGAGGAGGAGAAACGCAGCGCTGCTTTCAGGAAACGGGACGAGTAAGAATCAACAACGGACACCACGTCTAGTAAGTGCACACACGGTCTGAGTCGGTCTTGCTATGCCCTCCCCCCGGGGCAGGACCACCCCCATCCATCTGGCTGGTTAGGCAGACAGGACTGCAACAGCCAGCAACTCCTGCCACTGGGATGCTCTGCTCTCCTGAGAGAATAAACCACCCACGGCAAGGTCCCAAGGGCTTGAACGGCACTGAGGCTAAACCAGGACACTCGGAGTGCGCTACGGCAGCCAGCGGGGGGCAGAGAGCTGCAGACTGGATACACTGAACTTGAAAAACGAGCTTCTACCTCAGTGTCAGCTGTAGCTTCAGCACCTGGAACGGGAGGCGAGACAGAGCCCCCCACCCCCCCCAACAGCGGGTGGACTCAGGCCTCAGAAGCAAGAGCAGGCACCAGACTTCCTCTCGCCAGCCAGCACCCCGCCAGCACCGCCAGAGCCCCTGGGAGGCTCGGGCCTGGGCCACGTACAGGCCTCCCTCCAGCAGCTCTCGGCCCCGCGGCCTCAGCCTCCTTGTTCACGGAATCTCGGTCGGACGATCGCCCACTGGCCGTGCTGTCCAAGGAGTGGCAGGACACGGCATTGTACAGTGCCTCGTAGGGACCCTCCTCCTCAGCGTGCGCGTCAAAAGCAACTATCAGCTCCGTTACTGCTCTCTCCACATTCCCTGGAGAAGAAAGAGGGCAGACGGCAAGGTCATTAGGAAAAGGGGTGCAGCCTGGGTTCCAGACACTGGCTGGACACAGACCCCTTGGCAGTGCGAACCGCAATGAACACTAACCCACAGGGAACACGATCACTTTGATAAGGACAAGCAAGGGCCGGCCTTCTCTGATTCAGTAAAGAGGAGTGCGGCATAGTGGCAGAACGCTGGCTAAGCATGCACGCAGCTCTGGGTCCGATTCCCAACCAAAAGGAAAGCAGTTTAAATATGTAATTGCCACATCCTCCGTAGGCGCTCCAGCAGCTCAACACCATGTGACCGGAACTTAACCTGGACGTGCAGCGATGTGTAACTGACAACCACAGGATCGCTGCACGTTACGGCTGACCTTTTGTTTTCTTGTGTGTTTGTTTGTTTTTGTGGCAGGGTTTCTCTGTGTAACCCTGGCTGTCCCGGAACTTGCTTTGAAGACCAGATATTTACCTGACTCTGAAATCACTCTGTAGACCAGGCTGGTCTCAAACTCACAGAGATCCGCCTGCCTCTGCCTCCCGAGTGCTGGGACTAACGGCGTGCGCCACGCTCAGCCTTCACCCCATGCTTCTGAGGCAGGGTTTCTCTTGGGACCTGGAGCTAGCTCACTTAAAATGATTTAATGAAAGCGCCAAGCACTCAGAGGAAAGCGAAGCCTTTCTGACAAGGCACTCGTGACTTAATGGCTGTGTCCTCGGCTCTGTTAGAAATGGCATCCCGGAGCGGCTTGTAATATCGCAGATGTCAGTGTGAGCTCCTTGAAAGCCAAGAGCTCAGTGAATGACTGAGCCCGCTGCTAGCAGGTGACAAGATCAAGGAAAACTTTGGAGTGGGACAGACGGGGGTGAGGGTGGGGGCGGTCTGAGGAACCAGCATGGGCAAGCCGGGAGCCTGCAGCCCTCCCACCTCCGCTCCGTCCCTCCCCCTCTGCGTTGTTTCACCGTCTACTGCTGTCAACATTTGGGGCATGCTGTCAATCAGGGCTTATTTGTCTCTGATCATACCACAGGCTGCTCAGTAAACCAGACGGGAATATGTTGTGGAGTATTAGTTTAAGATGTGTTACATTTGCTTGTGCTGTGCAACATTTGTTTAATGACACAAAGATGTGCCACATTCATTCTCTTAGGTTGCATTTGTTTAACTCTGTGAAGCTGTGTTACTTTGCCTGTCTACAACACCCATTGGTCTAATAAAGACCTGAACGGCCAATAGCAAGGCAGGTGAGGGATAGATAGGTGGGGCTGCCAGGCAGAGAGAGAGAATAGGAGGGAAAATCCAGGCTCGAGAGAGGTGGGAGGAGCGAGACAAGGAGGAGGAGCCACCCAGCCAGCCATGGAGTAAGAAGGAAGAAAGATATACAGAATAAAGAAAGGGGGGGGGGGCTGGAGAGATGGCTCAGAGGTTAAGAGCACTGGCTGCTCTTCCAGAGGTCCTGAGTTCAATTCCCAGCAACCACATACATGGTGGCTCACAACCATCTGTGATGAGATCTGGCGCCCTCTTCTGGTGTGCAGGCACACATGCAGGTAGAATACTGCTTACACAATTAATAAATAGAATAGAACAAAGGAAGGTAAAAAGCACAGAGGTAAAATGTAGTTAAAGAGAAACTGGATAATTTAAGGTAGAGAAGCTGGTTAGAAACAAGCCAAGCTAGCCAGGTGGTGGGGGACGCACGCCTTTAATGCTAACACTCAGGAGGCAGAGGCAGGCGGATCTCTGTGAGTTTAAGGCCAGCCTGGTCTACAAGAGCTAGTTCCAGGACAGACTTCAAAACAATACAGAGAAACCCTGTCTCAAAAAAACAAAACAAAACAAACAAACAACAATAACAACAAAAAAGAGAGAAATAAGCCAAGCTAAGACTGGGCATTCGTAAGTAAGAATAAGTCTCTGTATATTTATTTGGGACCTGTGTGGCAGGCCCCCAAAGAGTTCAAAAAAACAAAAACAGAAAACTCCAGGACTCTGCTGCGGATGAGCACCTCCTGCCCAGACCACACTGGACCAGCTGTTCCCAGCGCACTGCCGCGTGTTTTGGGGTAGGAAGCAATCCTGAGATGACCCTGCCAATCACACATCCCACAGAAGCAGAGGCCAAAATGAAGCAGCGGGGCTGGAGAGCCGGCTCAGAGGTCAAGAGCACGGGCTGCGCCTGTAGAGCTCAGTGTCCAGCACCCACGTGGCAGCCCACAACCATCTGCACAACCCAAGACACCTCTGACCGCCACGGTCTCCTGAATGCATGCAGTGCACATAGACACACCTGGCCATACGCATTATATATGTAGTGTGCATGTATGTATGTATGTGTGTGTGTGTGTGTGTATATATATATATATATTCTTTTTTCTTTTTAAGACAAGGTCTTACTGTATAGCCCTGCTTAGCCTGGAACTTGTTTTTCAAGTGCTAGGGTTAAGGCACATGCCTGGCTTAATTAAAAAATAATAATAATTTTTTTAAATGAAAAGGGAAAAGTAGGGCAGATAATACCCATAGCAAAATCTACGCCATGCCTGCTAAAATTTCATGGACACAACTGAACGGAGTAAGTCATCACAACACCCTGCAATTATTGTTTGAATGAAGAACTTTCCACTGACTCTCCTGAGGCTGTGAAGAAAGCCCTCACCCTGAGACTTTGGTGCTGCGGCGTCTGTGCCTGACAGGAGAGGTGGCTGGGCTGGGCAGATCTTCTCTGCTTCTTTCACGCTTCTTTTTCCAGTCATGTGCTCTGCCGGGGAAGACGGTTAAAAAGAAGAGGTCGCCCCAAGCACGGTGCATTGTGGGATAGCCATCCCTGGTCCCCAGACAGTGAGGTGACCCACACCTTCTATCAGGGCTGCTATCTGCTGGCTCTTCTGAGAAGGCAGGTCCCGCACCGTGTCCAGGGCAGTCAGGCCGTGGTTGTCCTTTATGTTGACGTCGATTCCTGGAAAGGACGGGAAGTGGGCCAGGACAGTGAGCATCTCCAGGAGAGTCCAAGGGCACCCATAGCTCTCCAGCTGCACGGCCAGCCTTGTTCACGCACAGCCATCAACAGCCCAGCCTTCCAGGACCAAGTCACACCGCGCTAAACCACGCACACAGATGCTGGCACGTGGGATCAGCGCTGCCAACCTCACCTGCAGCCAGCAGAATTTGCACCACATCGGTCTTGCCAAACAAAGCAGCCTCATGCAAAGCGCTGCCCATCTCCGTCTGGAAGGCAAAGAGAGCGCAGCAGCACATCATGAGAACAGTTGGGTGTGTCACATGACAAGTGAGACGCGGATGGGGGGCAACTGAGCCAGCCACACAGAGCCCTCTGCAGGCTTCTCTTTCCAACATGCCTTGTGTGGGTTCTAAAACCACCATGGACGACACAGCAAGACCACGCGTGTGCTATTGCAGGCCACGTGCACGAGCCCCCAACTGCTTGTGGGGATGCTGACCGACCAAGAAAACCCGACCAAGCTCCACGTCCCCGGGGGGAGAGGGAGTAAAAGCACCTCGGGCCCACGTGGAGAGTCGGCACCAAGCTTAGGCAGGTACTGACTGAGAAGCCTGCCATCACAGGAGAGTGCTGAGTCACTCATGCTGGAGGCTGAGCGGGTGGGGGAGGGGCACGTACGGGAAGGTAATGAACTTTCTGGCTTTGAGATGGCCCATAAGCACTTCTTTTCAGGGTTTAAGGGCTGTATCCCACACCCTGAGAAGAAACAAGCGAAAAACACTAGACTCGCTCGGCGGAGCCCCTCTGTCTCTGAGATGTCACAGCGGGCGGGCGGGACAAAGTGGCAGACAGAAGCACGTGAGTGTGGCGTGGGGTGCTGAGGAGGGCACACAGCCTGGCCTTCCCCACCCCCTGAGACCCTGTGCCGGGAGACGGCGCCCGCCTTGCTAACCTGGGAGTTGCTGTCCATGCCGGCGTCCAGCAGGGCCTGCACCACAGCCTTGTGGCCGTTCCTGGCGGCCAAGTGTAAGGGGGGTGTGCTTCCTGGTGCTGCAGCTCAGGAGGTTGGGGTGCGCGCTCAGCAGCATCTTCACCACCTCGAGCCGCCCGTAGAGCGCGGCCAGGTCCAGAGGTGTTTCGAATTTGTTGTTGCGCATGGTGGGGTCTGTGAGCTCCTCCAGCAGGGCCTTCACCACCTCCGTGTGGCCGTACTGCGCTGCGCAATGCAGGGCAGTCTCGTTGTCGTTGTTCTGAGGGTCAGCAAGCGCAGCGTGTCAGAGGGGGGGTGGGGGCAGGGGGCTGGGGCAGGGGGACTGGCATCTGCCTGTACAGCCACCCATAAAACCACTGAAATTTAAATGAGAAAACAGCAGCAGTACTTGGGAACTTTACGGGAGTCCAAATCCAGGCATCATCCCAAACAATCAAGCCTGATGGCTCCCACGGGCCACATCTGCCTCCACTCCCTGCAGGAAGAAGGGAGCATTCTGGGAACATTTGCAGGCTCTGTGTGCCTTCAAGGGCGCATCTCCACACTGAAGGAGAGGGGAACGGGGAATTTGGCAGGCATTTGGTAGATGCCCTGGCATGCACGAATGTTATATCACTGCCATTGTTTCATTTGAAACTTCAACTGGTTTTACAAGCATTTCTTTGTCCAACCCCGTGGTTCGGATTCTGGCTTTATCTACCATCCACAGCCTTCCACGAAGCTTTTTAAAAGGAGGTTATCATCCATAGCTCCTGGCATGCAAATCGATCAGCCGGCAGGGAGAGGAACAGAGCAGAGCACCGCACACCACTCTCAAGGCAGCAGCCACTTCTGAGGAGGCAGGCACAGGCTCACCCTCTTCCTGCCTCCCACCTCCTACACAAGGGCACGGGGGGGGGGGGGGGCAAGGCACGCAGTTTCCACTGCGTAAGAGTGAGCATGTCGGGGACCTTCTCGTGTAAGAAAGGGGCAGGCCCTGGGATGCTCTGGTGTGAGAGGTGCAAAATATTCCAGTGCAAAACTGTCCTCCATTCAGCTCGTGGGCTGAAGGCCTCTGACGCCAATTCTGCCTCCAGGACAGAGTCTGGGGTGAAACTGGGGAACCTTGTGCCTTTTCAACCGTCAAGAAGCAAAACGTGAGTCACGTCAATCGTGGTCTCCACTTGAGGCTGATGACGTGTAATGGAAGCAGACAGTTTTTCACAACCTCTCTTTTCACAGAAGCGCTCATGAGAGCAAGGCTCTCACACGTCTCAGTCCTCAGTTTACCCAGGCAGCTTCCGCTACTTTGGGGAAGACGAGGCTTGAGAGGGCCTGCCCCATGTCCATACTGTGCACCTGTCAGTCACCACAAGCTAAAAGTTAACTACGTCTACAGTCGTTTTAATTCTGTTAGTGACATTAAAGGGACAGATGAAGAGTTACCCAAACATGCATCAATCCCATCTGCTTTTGACTGCATCACTGTGCTTTTGGTTGGTTTTGTTTTGATTTGATTTGTTTTTACCCCAGCTACACAAAGATGGATGAGTTGCTGAGACCAAGGCCCCCAGCGGCCAGAGTGACAGCAAAGGAATGTTTTAAGCCAAAACAACGACAGAGAAAGTGGCAGCAGGAGCACATGCAGAGAGACACACACGAGACGCAGAGGACTCAACAGAGCGGCACAGCTCAGCAAGGCGGCCACAGGGGCAAAGCGGCCACAGGGCGCTGCTCTCAGTGGCCCAACGGGAGGCACATGTGTGTGGCTCCCTGTGGACACTGGGCGTGCCACCTCCTTCCTACCAACCTAGGACCCAAGGCCCCCGAGCAAACTCGGGGCTGTCAATTCACTTCCTTGTAACAACACACAGCTACTTCAACAGAGCTCATGGGAGTTATCTGGAAAACGCAACCCAAAGAAGTTTAAGAAAGGTCTCTGAGTTTTCTACCTCAACTTCTGCATGCCAAGCAGGGCCACAAGGCCACCTTCTCTCAACAGAACTCCATCCAGGAAAACGTGCTGACTCTCAAGAAAATCATTTACAGCCACGGTGCCTCCCAGCATCCAGAATTACGTCCTAGACTTTGTAACGTGTGACTTAGAGACTGAAAGGTTATAAAGCCTTAAAGACAAAACTATCCAGCGAGGGAGGGAGGGAGGGAGGGAGGGAGGGAGGGAGGGAGGGAGGGAGGGAGGGAGGGAGGGAGGCAGAGGTATAAAGACATGCTGGAAATACGGCTCAGTGGCAGAATAGGTGCTTAGCACACCCAGGACCCTGGGTTTAGTCCTACCAAATGCATCCTACCAAAACGATGAAGCAGAAAAACACGGTGAGTGCTTTTTGGGTGTGTTTATTGGTTTTCTTTGGCCTACTGGCTTCTGCTAGAATGAAGAGGGTTGTCCCGAAGTTGCCCTGCTAAGGCACAGTCTTGGTCGGTCCTGGCACACTGCCTGCCTGGTGTTAAACACCATGTAACTACACCTCACTGTAGAGGCGTCTGAGAGTGGATCATTCTGCCAGACACGGGCTGGTGCTCAGCTTTCTCGAGCTTGTCTGTGGTGAGCACACGCCACCGTGGCTGAGCACTGGCCACCACTACAGGATCCTGGTTTCTTTTCAGAGCTGAGCACTGTCAGGTTAGGGGGTCCTCCAACTGACTCATGGACCCTAGAGAGGGGCGGGCAGGGATCCTGTGGAGAGCAGATTCACCAGTCATGGGACATAGGGACACACTTCCCTTTCAGCCTTCTGAACTGGGGGAAGGTCATGTGCCCGGGCTAGCCTCAAACGTGATACTAAGCCTTTCACTAACCTCCATCCCCACTCATCTGGAGGCTAAGTTTTCCCTGCTACGGTCAACAGGTCTAAGAAAACGGGGTCTACCTCTCTGCAGATTCCTCTATGTGACTCACAAATATACACATTCATAAGTGAGCAGAGGAAACCACACGGAAGTGTTTCTACAGGGCGTACCCTCTCACAGATGGGCTCGCGCTCCCCGTGGACGGAGGCCTGAGGTAAGGAGGCAGAGCTGTAGCTGTCTACAGCTGCGGTGCAGGTTCTAGAGTCAGGACTAGGAAGAAAGGTAAAGCCGGACAAAGAAGACAGGAAAAGGAAGAGTGGCCACAATGGCAACCAAGAGTCCAACTCGCTCCTGCAGCTCAGAACTTGGACCAAAGCAGCCAGCAGAAAGCCACGCCAGCCCGCTGAGAAACCGCAGCCGGCAGCCCAGGGACCTGAGCCAGGCAGCGGGCGATTCTCTCTGTTACTAGGAAAACTGGTCCGAAGCCGGCTCAGAAACAGTGCATCTCAAAAGACTCACCTGGGAACTACACAGAGCTTACAAAGAACCAGTCACTGGCCCAACCACAGACGTGGCCAAGAAAACTGTTAAGAGGGTAAAGGCACATGATACTATTATTTAAAATTCTTGCTGGTATGATAGGACACACCTATAATCCCAGCACTCAGGAGACTGAAGTAGGAGGATAGAGGGTCCTGAGTTCAAGACCAGGCCGGGCCTCAGAGCCAGAACTTGTCTCAAAACAAGGGCTGGGGGTATTTTACTCAGTGGCAGAATGGCTGCCTGGCATATTTGAGACCCTTCTAAGTTGCACCTTCAGGCCCCACCCCCCTAAGGAATGAAACCACCTGCAAGACCATCGCCATTACCGAGACAGTCTGTGACCTAGTGACATACTAACAAGGGTAAACCTTCTGCGGCATCCCTGTCCCGCACAAGCAACCTAACCTAACCTACCTAACCTAACCTACCTAACCTAACCTACCTAACCTAACCATACCTAACCTAACCTAACCATACCTAACCTAACCTAACCTACCTAACCTACCTAACCTACCTAATCTAACCTACCTAACCATACCTAACCTACCTAACCTAACCTAACCTAACCATACCTAACCTAACCTAACCATACCTAACCTAACCTAACCTAACCTACCTAATCTAACCTACCTAATCTAACCTACCTAACCATACCTAACCTAACCTAACCTACCTAACCTAACCTAACCATACCTAACCTAACCTAACCATACCTAACCTACCTAACCTAACCATACCTAACCTAACCTAACCATACCTAACCTAACCTACCTAACCTAACCTACCTAACCATACCTAACCTAACCTAACCAACCTACCTAACCTAACCTACCTAACTAACCTAACCATACCTAACCTAACCTACCTAACCATACCTAACCTACCTAACCTAACCTAACCATACCTAACCTACCTAACCTAACCATACCTAACCTAACCATACCTAACCTAACCATACCTAACCTAACCTAACCTAACCATACCTAACCTAACCTAACCTAACCATACCTAACCTAACCTAACCATACCTAACCTACCTAACCTAACCTAACCTACCTAACCTAACCTACCTAACCATACCTAACCTAACCTAACCATACCTAACCTAACCTACCTAACCATACCTAACCTAACCTAACCTACCTAACTAACCTAACCATACCTAACCTAACCTACCTAACCATACCTAACCTAACCTAACCTAACCATACCTAACCTACCTAACCTAACCATACCTAACCTAACCTAACCATACCTAACCTACCTAACCTAACCATACCTAACCTACCTAACCTAACCATACCTAACCTAACCTAACCTAACCTAACCATACCTAACCTAACCTAACCTAACCATACCTAACCTACCTAACCTAACCATACCTAACCTACCTAACCTAACCTAACCTAACCTAACCTAACCTAACCATACCATCAGAGCAGCAGCGTCATTACGGCTGGAGAGTGTAAGGACGATGGGAGGGGAGGGGAAGGGAGGCGGAAGGGAAGGACACGATTGACATCATGAGAACAAGGGGCAAAATATGAGCATTGGCAGCGTACTAAAAAAACTCGGAATTTTCTGAGTTTGGTGGCTGTGTCAGGGTCTCCTTACTGTTTTCAGACAAGGTCCCACCATGCTCCTGGCTGGCCTGTTACTCACTACAGAGCCCTCAGACTTTCAGTAACTCTCCAGCCTCAGCCCGAGTGCCAGGACACAGGTGTGGCCCGCCAGGCCCGGCCTTGTAAGTGAATGTCTTTGTGCTCAGATCTCAGGTGAAAACTAAGTTTCTGGAGCCGAGGCGTGAACAGCTATCCCTCAAGCGTATCGCCAGCCATGGCCACAGCTGCACGGGGAGAGAGACAAGGGGGGGGCGGAATGCACCGCAGTCCGGGACCCTGGCCGCAGGAGCCCTCCGGCCTAGAGCCCTTCAGATGGAAAGCGCTCTGGCAGCCTCTGGTGCTCCTGATGCAGTCAGGGAGAATTCAGGCTCCTTCCACTCTGGGGCGTGCGTGGATGGTCAGAAAAACTGGTCTACCCTAGAACGAGCTTGTCTATGCTGCTTGCTTTGTGGCCAAGGGGAAGCCGTCTTACAAGGGTCCCTGGCCCCCACAGCTGGCTCATTTTCACTTTCCTTGGCTTTGGGATGGCTGGTAGAAAGGAAGAGTACTGAGAGGAAGCAGCAGAGCTTGGGAAGCCCACATCCGCTTCTAAGGCTGCACTTGAGCCAGAGGGGACTTAGCACTCACACGCACTTGAGTAAAGCGATTCCTAGGCACGGGCCAGGCTAGTGAAAGCCAGTGGTGGGGACCAAGTCTGCTTCCTGTGCACACACAGCCCGGCCCGGCCCTCGGTGCTGTGCACACCCAAGGGGAGAAAGCACAGGGAGGGTGGCCCTGGCAGACACCAGTGTTCACTGACTTCAAACCCTGTTCCCTTCTCTGTCCACACAATCAAACACTCGGGAGAGCACTTCCTCCGACCAAGGGCGCAGCACTGAATCCACGCTTGAGAAGCCGATTCCACCACACGCGGGAACGGTCACCCCAGGTCCCTTCCTCACTAAACCAAAGCTTGGGCACACTGAGCGACTACTTCGCTAATGGCCCGCCAGCCCTGGAAACAGATCACATGGTGCCTTTCCAGAATAGCACAGGTAGCTAGGTGCGGTGGTGGTGCACACCTTTAAGCCCTGCACTCGGGAGGCAGAGGCAGACAGAGCTCTGTGTGTCCGAGGCCAGCCTGGTCTACAGCTAGCCTACTACGTGGGGAGGCTCCGCCTCCACAAACAAACAAAACAACGCCCCCAACCCCACAGACTGCACAGTTATTTCAGAAGACCTCACGTGTTGTTAGTTTCCAGGTACTTTATGAACACGACTCCACAACAACCCAGCAACGAAGGAAGCAACACCGCATTTTGTAAAAGAGGAAACGCGGCTTAGCGGGGTGAGCGAGCTCAGGACTTAGAGTCAGGCCTGGGGAGAGAGCCTGGCCGGCAAGTCTCCATCCACTCAGGGCTCTACCTCCTACCTGCGCCCCAAAGCCGCTCCAATAAAGTATGCCCTGCCTGACTCCGAGAGCACAGAGAGAATAGTCCAGAACAGAGTGGATGTGTTGGCTGCCTGACATCAAACTGCTGCTCTACCGGAAAAGTCCTTCCTCCAAAGCCAGCCCATGGCAAGTGTGGCCGACACCAGGAGCAGTGCACACTTCTGAACACCCCCCTTCCCCAGGGCAGGGGCGCTTCGAACAAGCACAGAGCACCAACCAGGACAGCGCGGCGTCTAGACAGACTCCAGAGCTGGGAGGACAGCCCGGGCGGGAGGGCTCCAGTCAGCTCTCGGAATCCCTGTAAAAAACGGTGAGCACTCCAGCACTGGGGAGGACAGTCCTGGGGATTCCCTGCAGGTCAGACAGCCAGGTCAACAAGCTCCAGCTCAGTGAGAGACCCTGACTCAAAAACTAAGACAGAGTGGCTGGGGAAGACACTCAACATTGGCCTCTGGCGCACACGCATGCGCGCACACACAAACACACACACACACACACTCACACGGGGGGGCTGGCTGTTAATGGGGTTAGGGGGCTGGAACAGAGACAGAGGAAAAAAGCACGTGCGTGTGCACCAGCCCCAGGGACATAAGATTTAGCACGTGAGGGATAAGGAGCCATACCTACCACCTACTAAGCTCTGCCTCTTTATGGAGAAGTCTCCTGGAGAGACAGTGGCTGGTCATGTAGGTCTAGTAAACCACTGCTGTCCCCAGTCACCAGGCCAGCGCCCTGCAGCTCCTGTCTCAGAGCCCGTCTGGGCCAACAGTGACAAAGCAGAGAGAAGTGACACTAGACACTGGACAGAGCTATGAGGCACCATGCAGAAAGGCACACACCCAGGGAGAGAGGGCGGCAGCCAGCAACAGCTTCTGAAAGAATGAAGTGCGGTCACCTATGTCCCCCGCACCACCACTGTGGCCACGGAAACCTGAAAGAAAGCCAGAGTCTACTTCAAAAGAAAGGCAGGAGCAGACGAAAAGGAAAAGCTTTAATTTCAAGAAGTACACGGCAATCACTTCCGGTGCCTATTGCAAGTGAGCAGGCTGGTCTGATGGGCCTCTTTGCCCAGTTCCCATGGCCTCACAAGTCACAGGCACACAGCAGGCTTACGGCGAGGTCCCAGTTCCTACTCCCGCTGCTCCAGATGTTCCCGACCTTTCCTGGATTGGATGGTTTTAAAAATAAGGCCTCGGACCCTGTGCTGCGGTTTCCCTAGACAAGCCAAAAGCAGATGGGCTGAGGCGGGCAGCTGGAGGGCGGTGAAGAGGAGCCTGGGCAGGAGGACAAGGGACCACAGCAGAGCGCAGCAGAGAGAAACGATGTGGGGTCCTGGCCGGGAGGTACACACCTTGGCATTGATATAAGGGTCAAAGGGGCCGTACTTTTTGAATTCTTTGATCTCAAGAGCATTCTATAAAAAGGAGAGGAAAAGACAATGTGACGATAAAATGGATGAAATATATCAAAGCAATATGTAGCCCTGGGGGCCCAAGGCTAAGCAACCTGGATCTGAGTGTGGGTGCCTGAGGGGGTTAAAGAGGGGGCCGCCGCAGGGACCTCACTCTTACCTACGTATCCGCTGGTGCCACGTGAATGGCGTTAAAACCACTGCTGTTTGGACCGGCCTGGATCCATGCGGCTCTTCCAGCTACTCTGCACATCCTGCCCAGCCCCTGCCTGCAGTGTTTAAGCACTGGGCAGGCGCCCAAATGTCCTGCCTACTCCAGGCAGGGCGCAGCCGTGAGCAAGATAAGCCAGCATGCTCAAGTGCCTCCAAAACCCCAGCAGCCGTGCTTCAAGGCAGAGTGGGCGGAGACAGGGTTAGAAATGACTGCTCAAAGCTGCTCAAGTGAGAAGGCCTTCAATGGGTGGGCACTGGTCAACATTGAAGACTATTAGTTATGAGCAAGCTTCCCAATCTTTTTTTTTTTTTTCAGAGAGAAAGAAACTGTTGTTTCAACCAGGAGATCTGCACTGAGGTTCTAAAGAGGCACGTGTGAGACCACCATCATCCTCACCGATGGTCCGACCTCTGCTGCTGACCTACCCAGAAACCCCATTGGTGAGGGAATGGCAGGTTGACAGACCGCTACCTACACCCAGTCTCCAAATGGAGGCACCTGGGACACTGAGGGTTTCCCTCCTCAGAACTGAGCCATGCTCCAGCAGCTCAGTGGGAGCCTGTGTGGGTCTTGCTGACGAGTGGGCTTGCCAGACAGCATCCTAAGTTTTAAGGAAGACCCCGACACTCCAAAGCACGGAACAACCTCCTCGGGCGAGTGAGCGAGCGCTGTCACGAGGAAGCCAGCTCTGCACTGAGAGGAGCGGTGTTATGTGCACTGCAGGAGCAGGGCTGACAAACACCCCCTCCCCAGAGGACCTGCACCCTGGGACTGAACCACAGAGGTGGGAGTCACGAGAGCCTTCGCAGCAGCCTCCCCTCTCCCAAGAACACAGAGGCCATCCTAAGGGGCCTGTAAGGTCTTCTCTTGGTTCTCTCCGCTCCCTTTTTTTCTTCTCAAAGCAGGGTCTCCTGCTGTAGTCTAGGATTACCTGAAACTTCTGAACTTTCTGCCTTGGTCTTTAGAGTGTGGGGATACAGGCTGTATACCAACCACCGGAGCTAGCTTAGGTAATTTTTTTCTCTTTCCTCTTTTCCTTCCTTCCTTCCTTCCTTCCTTCCTTCCTTCCTTCTTTCCTTCCTTCCTTCCTTCCTTCCTTCCTTCCTTCTATTCCTCCCTCTCTCCCTCCCCTAGGCAAGGTCTCATGTAGCCCAGGCCGGCCTCTAGGCAGGGATGATCTTGAAACTCTCGATTCTTTGGTCTGCACTTCCCAAGTGCTGAGATTACAGGCATGAGTCATCAAACCCAGCTAGGTGGTTTTCCTTAAATGCTGCCTCTCTGTGTTCCAATAACTTGGCATTTTTTCAGCATATGCTCACTCTCAGGGCCTCGGAGAACCCCATGGAAGTCCTCTGACCTGCATCCACATGGTTTTGAGTTGGGAGCTTATTTTTTTTTCAGCACCAGCACAAATACTTTCACTTCTGCACATTCTGATATATGTAAAAAACAAGATAGCTCACAGGGCATTGACGAACACCAGGAAAATTGTGCTGCATATTTGATGGCATAAGCACAAATCACAATCATGTAACCCCCCGAGTTTGCAACTAACTCTACATCATTTTGAAAGATTTGCATCCAATTTTATACTGTGAGTCTGTGTATGTGTGTATGTGTACATGAGTGAAATTCTAGTTCAAATCTGCATGCACCAACTGCTTATAAAATGCATCAGGCCTGTCGTGGTGGTGCATGCCTTTAATCCCAGTGGATCTCAAAGTCCAAGGCCAGCCTGGTCTACAGAGTGAGTAGCCAGGGCCACACAGAGAAACCCTGTCTCAAAAACCAAAGCAAACAATTCCAGAAAGGTTCTCCCTGCTACTCCTGGTGACAGGTTCAGGCCTAGGGAAAGGAGGAAGTATGTCCTGAGCTCTGCCTCGGGACTGAATGAGGCGCAGTCTGGCCACAGCTGAGGGAGGAGGACATTCTCTCCCAACCTGTTCGTTGACTCTGGTGTGCGAGGGCCCTTGGTGGATGAGCAAGCGCACTATCTGGGCGTCTCCCTTCCACGCTGCCAAGTGCAGTGGGTAGCAGCCTTTCGAGTCGGCAACATTGGTCAGCGCGTCGTTCCTCAGAAGGACCTCAACCACATCCCTGGAAAGCAAAAGCCAACCATGAGCTTACGGAGCCAGAGGCCCTTCCATGGGCGCACTGCAGAGTCCTCTGACATGCTCTCCCGATGGCTAGCTGCCTCCTCTGAGCTCACTGCCAGATGGTCTTCTAAAGCCCCCAGTCACTGGTATGGAATGACTCACCTTCCCGGGGGCCTTCCTTGATAATCCATCTATCTCCCCGTACTCTGAAAACGCTGGACTCCTTGTCTAAACTGTGCGTTACTCCCTGGGTTGTGATATTTACATAGCGCTCAGCATTTACATAAAAGCGGTTCAACGAGGCAAGCGATGTTCCTCACTAGCTATTCCAACCCCTTGGGGATGTGGGATCTCAGAGGACAGAACAAAATCAATTTCACAGACTTATGCCGGATACACAGAGCATCGTCCCCCAGCTCCAAGAAGCCTGGCTTCCTTATTGGAGACACACGGCCCAAGAACAAGTGGCTGGCAAACTGCCACCTTTGAGTGGCAGTCGCTCGAAGGAGCCACCCTAATTCGGACTTTCCCAACTGCTTGAGAGGGGTCTCAACACATTTCTTGTCTTCCTTCGTGCATACATTGCGTCTGTGTGCCATGGAGCACGTGTGGGAGTGAGGGGACAACTTTCGGGAGTCATTTCTCTACATCCACCCTGTGGGTCCCAGGGACCAAAGCCCAGTCACTGGGCGTGCAGCAAGTGCTGTACCCTCTGGATCATCTCGCCAGGCCTGGATTTTAGCTTTAAAGTCGTTTCAGGAAGAAACGGTGTCCACGTTCAACTTGAGAAGAGTTCAGTGCTGAAGCAAACTGTCAAGCGGTCACACATTGGACACGTGACAGAATCTGCAGCGTGTGGGCCTGCTCCTGGCTCACATAAAATGAGGGCTGAGGGTGTGTGTTAACGGTAAAGCAGGAGACCAGCACCAAAGAGAAGAAAGGTCGGGAGGATCTCAGTGAGCCCCTGGTTCCTGCCACCAGAACCACACACACACAGCTCCCCTTCCCAAGACCTTGCTTCCGGCTCTCAGTATCATCTTCTCTATCCCCCCTTGTTTCTGGTCGTCCACTTCCGGGCAAACCCTCCCCAGACCCCATGACTGCACCTGATGACTCTCAGCAGGGAACTCTCAGCTCCCAAGTTCATCTTCTCCAGGAAACTTTCCACACGTATTCCCACTCAAGTTCTAATGCCTCCTTAGACTTAGAGGGTTAAGAGGGCCACATACATATTTTCCCTCTCTATGAGGAAAGAGTGACAGCTGTCCTGACAGGGCCCCGCCCCCACACCCCCCGCCCCATCATGTGTTCATGGTGGGGGAGTGGACACCTGTGGGCCAAGGTCTTCATGATCTGGCTGCCCCGAGTCTGGTCTTCACAGTTATCACTGTCGTGTGATGCTGGAACACTCCAGACAGGAAGCGATCATTAGGAGAAAAGGTAGATTCACTTCTGCCTAAAGCTCTTTCTGGGGCGAGGCAGAAAAGGATGCCTCGGTCGGCATCGGCATGGTCTGTGTGGACCCTGCTTGGGGCTCCGCAGGGCGGGCAGGGGCGGGGCCTGGCACTTACCTGTGGCCATTCAAAGCAGCGTGGTGTAGTGGAGTGTAGCCGGTGCTATCTACGCAGTTCACGTTTGGCCCTCTCCACATGCTGGTGGGGAAAAAGAGGGAGATTTCAAAGGCTGAAGAGACAGCTGCCTAATGGTGGAGGAGACGCTCCCCGGGCTGACTGCAGGCGGGGGCGCACAGCACCTAGGGTGGCCTACTGGGCAGGCGGCTACTGAGCAGGGCACAGTGACAAGCAGGGGCCAGCTCTGCAAACGCCGGCTCACCTCAGCTGCATCGCTTGCTCAGTTTTGATATTAAACCCCCCGAGTGCTCCCAACTCACAGAGAGGTCACCCGAGCAGCACAGAAACAAGCCATCCAGCTAGGCATGGGCGATGCTATCACCCTGTTCTGCTGAGTGATGCCAGGAGCTACCTCAGTACAGATCTCAGACCAAGGCAGCACCTGACAGTGTCAAAAATGCATCAGGATGCACGAATGGAGACATGAACCCGACGTGTCCCCTTCCTTCAAAGACGGGGGTGGGGGGTGGGGGCAGGGGGGGGAACGACAACAGTAGATCCTGAATTCACAGGTTCAACTATAGTGGGTCCAAATAGGCATTAAAAATGCACCTCTACTGAACACGCACAGCCCTCTTTCTTATAGTTATAACCCAAACAATACAGCCTAAAACCTGTTTGCATAAGGCTGGGTGTGGGTGGCCCGTGCCTTTGATCCCAGCACTCCAGAGGCAACTTGATCTCTGGGTTTGCGGCCTCTGTTCTATATAGTGAGTTCCAGGACAGCCAGAGCTACACCGTGATACCTTGTCTCAAAAAAAAAAAAAAAAAAAAAAAGGAAAGGAAACAACAAAAGCCATTTGCAGAGCAAGAGGTGGTTGCAAGAACATGGGAGTAAGTATGTGGATAACATGCAGAGTGTATCCACCATTTTACACCAGGGATCCCTGGAGTCAACCTCCCGTGGACACTCGCTGATAAACCACTACATCTTACCCATGGATGTTTGTGTACCACTAACAAAGTCTCTAGCTTGAGGGTTTCCCCACGAGAAACACCGTACAGGGAAACGTCACCTCCTTCAACTCTCAAAGCCCTGATTCCGACTTGTCTCCCATCTCCGGCACAGGCCGGAGTCTTAGACGTCAGGTCCTCACTTGTTTCCGACTCCGCCAGCACTGATGGCTGGAGGCACCCCCTTCTCCAACATTTAATGTTTTATGGTTTGGGGGATCAAGCCCAAGGTCTCACTCAAGTTGCTGGGCAACCATTCTGTTACTGAGCCAGCCACACCCCACCCTTTCATTTTTAAAGTGTTATCAGGGACAGTTGTTTAATTAAAATACATTTTTGGCATCTATAAAAATAACCGGCTTTCATGTCCAACGACCTAAGTACACCATTCCTACAGTTTCTATATTAAGGGACTCTCGTTCTTGGAGTGACCTTATCTGTTGCCACCTGTGGGAGCCTGGCTGGACACACTGTGCAGTGTGTCTGCTTTGGAACACAATACTTGAATTTTCAAGTCTATGTTTGTGAGGCCAGCCCAAAGGTTCTGCCTTTTCATACCACTGTAAGTAGATAGCGTCAGTGCTCACTTTGGGTTAGAAATCAGCTTGGCTGCTGTCCACTCATTAAAAAAAAAAGTCATTATGCTGATTGTCTTAGACATGCCTTTATGTGCATGGGTGTTTTACCTGCATGTACGTGTATGCGTCACCTGTGTGCCCGATGCCTGGTGCCTGGGGAGGTCAGGAGAGCGTGTTGGGTTCCCTGAACTATAGATATCTGTGCGACGCCAGGCACATGCTGGGAGCTGCAGATGTCCTCAGCCACTGAGCATCTCCCCAGTCCTATCTGATTCTTTATTTGGGAACCAGGATGCACCAGTAAAACCATCTTGACACAGACAGAGCCTTCCAGCAGGATCATTACAGGAACAGCTTGGAAACAAGCTCTGTTACAACTACAGCCCGGGCAGAGCCATCCATCACCCAAGCTACCCCGCTCTGAGTAAAAAGACCATAACAAGTGTCCAAAGTGATCAAAATTATAGCTACAGTGGGTCTTGTTCAGAAGGAGCCTATATCAGAGAACTGATCGGGACAGTTCATTTCATCCCCAGCTTAAAGCTTAAGAGACTTTTAAACTCACTGGAGGCTGCGGGGCCTGTGTGCTACAGCACACTTGTGGAAGTCCAAGAACAACTCTGGACATCGCTCCTCACCTTCCTCCCGACGGCCAAATCCAATCGCTGGGCTTGACGGCAAGCCCTGCCCTTGCTGAGCCCCTTCACGCTCCACCACCCTAAAGTTTAGTGAACAGGAAAGAATAAAAAACCTCCACGTGTGTGGTGCACAGCAGAGGCAGGAGGATCTCTGTGAGTTCGAGGCCAGCCTGGTCTACAGAACTAGTTCCAGAACAGCCAGAGCTGTTACACAGAGCAACCCCGCCTGGGTAAAACAAAGCAAAACAAAACAAAAATCTCACACCTCACAGCTAGATGCAGCCCTAGGAAGTAAGGACAGATCTCACTAACTAGCTGTCAAAACTGAGGTATTACTTTTTCCTTTGCTTTCTTTTCCTTGTGAGGGTGGTGGCAGGTTCTCATTATGCAGTCCCAGGCTGGCCTCAAACTCACCCTCGGCCTGCATCAACTTCCCAAACACTGAGATCACACATTCGGCTCTCTGAGAAGTTCATAGAGAGAGAGGCAGAGGCCAACCTTCAGGGTTTTCCTTGGGCGCCGTCTCCCTTTTTCTCTTGAGACAAGGCCTCTCGCTAGGATCTGAAGTCCACCCATTAAGCTGGATGGGTGGCTGGCAAGCCCAGTGACCCACCTGTCAATCCTGCCCACTGGGACTGTAAGCGTGTGCCGCCACACCTTACTCAGTGCCGGGGGCTGAGTACAGGTCCTCATGATTGCATGGCCAGCCACTGTATGACCTGAACCACCCTGTCAGCCCCGGGGAATGCCGATGCAGACAAAAAGAATACCGTCCTATGTATGACTTTCCACCCATCTGGTCAGCAGGGGAGGATGGAAGCACCACCAAGGGTTCGTGGACGCAAGCCCAGCACTGGGACAAGTCTAAGTCAGAAGGTTCCATTAGGAAGACAATTTGGCAGCATGTATCAAAACCAAAAATAGCGTTCACTTGGAGCCAGCAACTTCACTTCCAGGCAACCATCCAACAGAAACATTGTACATGTGCACCGAGCACAAGCTTACATAGTATCACTTCCCTGAAGAGCACAGCTCCGAAGTCCAAGCACACCAGCAGACATGCCGTTAGGATGCTGGCGCACCCACAAAATGGATACGACACAGCCACTGACAATGAAACGGAGAGCTGGGCTTGTGTGTCCTGACCTGAGCGCAGCGTGCTGAAAGTCTGGGGAAGGGCATAGCACCCCGTTTTACAGACGCACAGGACACAAAGGCTCTGAGAACGGGTGGGAGTGGAAGAGTGCTCACCATGAACTGTTCGTAGCGGTGACCTTGGGGGCGCTGCAGAATGGAGACCAGACATGCGCTCTCACGGTGAGAAGAACCTCACGATGGTTTTTATGTGGAAGAACCAATACCTGGGAACAAAGGCACCGAGGTGTCCCTAACAAGCAGCTGAGTGTGTGGCAGGCCTCTCCAGGAAGGCCCCGATACTGATTCAGAACCCTAAGGAAGGAAGTGGCCTCTAAGAGCCCACTGAGCAGCCACAGAAACAAGCAGCAGAGAGAGCGCCTAAGTAACGGGAGAGACACCTGTAAGTCGTGTACCTGACAAGATGCTGACCCCTGAAATGCAGAGACTCAACTGACTGCAGGAAAACAAAGCAATTTAAAGATGGACAAAGGACACAAAAACACACCTTTATTGTTGTGACAGGGCCTCATAGAGCCCAGAATGGCCTTGATCCCTTGGTCATTCTGCTTCTACCTTCCAAAAGTTGAGATAACAGCCTATTCCCAACTCAGTAAAGATATTTTATACAAGTCATACAAATGGTCAACAGGTAAATGAAAAAAAGCTCAATGTCACTAATTATTAAGAAAATGCAAACCCAAACCTATGTGCCTGTCAAAATAGCCACTGGAGAGAGAGAGACAGAGAGAGAGAGAGAGAGACAGAGAGACAGAGAGACAGAGAGACAGAGACAGAGACAGAGAGACAGAGAGACAGAGAGAGAGAGAGACAGAGAGAGAGAGAGACGGAGAGAGAGACAAAGAGAGACAGAGAGAGAGGTAAAAAGAGCTGTTAAGGATGTAAAGAACACTCTCAACGCTGCTCGTGGGAATGTAAACTCACAGAGCCATATGGACTAAAGTAAAGCATGGATTGCCCCAGGACCCAGAGACCCCACTACTGTGTGTGAGCATCTACCCAAAGCAATGAACTGAACATGGAGAAGACACAGGCATTTCCATGCTTGGTGCGACGCTACGACAGCCAAGACACAGAATCAACAGGACGGCCCTAACAGATGAGCACAAAGAGAAAGTGGAATGCTATTCAGCCCTGAAAAGGGAGGAAATCCTGTCATTCGCAACACAATAAATGAACCTGAAGGACACTATGCTGAATGAAAACATCACACAGACTCAGACACAGAATCTCAAGTGGGACTCAGAGCATTTCATTTCATGCATTTCAAAACAGGGTCGGCATGAACATCCGTTCACTTTGTACTTGTCAAGGAAATGAAGAGTGCGGGGTCTGTGTGAGCTGACACTGGGGCTGTATTTTCACTACAGTGAGCCTGACTTATATCCCAACACTCTACACCATCAAGTCTGGACCCCTCTGACCTCCCAAACGAGGAGACAATATTTCCTTTCCTAGCCATTTTTAATACCAAGCTTGCATAGTTGTATTTGATGATAAGAGGGGAGTGGAAAGAAAATGAGTGCGGAAAACTAGAAGAGATGGCGCTCACACAGGGTTCTCACACAGGGAGTCTTCTATCCAAGGGCTCAGTGGAGTCCAAGAGCGAGTCACAGACCACATCTGTGAGAGACTAGAGGCACTGGTTAGGCAGCTCTTGGCACCCCTCCAGAGAAGGACTTCTGGGTCTTACTAG